GCTGAAAGCAGCTGAAGCAGAACAAAATGTGAAAGGAGCAGTAAACGATTTGAAGGAGGGAAAATGAGCTCAATTCATTTCTTACGAGAACAAAATGTCAGAAAAGGCTAAATATTTCAAGAAGCTAAAGCTGCACCAGAAGTCATGGATTGTCCTGAAAGAGCCGAACGTTTTGATTTTTGTTGAAACGGCTGAAAACTGCGTGACGAGCAACAATCGTACAGAAGAGAAATGGACCAGAACAGAGTGACGAACTTTCAGAGAATAAAAAGCAGCAGAGTCTTTCTTGTGTAAAACCCGTAGAACCAGTAACAAAGACCAACAGGAAGTCAGAAAGCAACTGGTCTGTTCCTGCGGCCTCTGACGTCCAACAGCAGAACTCCAAGGTCCAGATTTCTTCACTGGATGTTTCTGCTCCTCTTTCTTCAGACTCTGGGAAACCGTTGCCGCAGCTCCCCGAGACCAGACGAGACGTAAGTGACCAGCCGACGCACACCCCCACTCACACGCACAGATCGAACCTGCGTCTGTCCCCCGCCAGCCCCCCGTCGCTGCCTCGCTGCCGCAAACTGAGGAGGAGGAGGAGGTGGTGGTGGCTCTGTACGACTTCCCGGGAGAGGAGGCGCACGACCTGAGTCTGACCAAAGGTCTCGAGTACGTCCTCCTGGAGAGGTGCGACCGCAACTGGTACAGAGCTCGCAACAAGTACGGGTGAGTGCACGAGCGCCGACAGGAAGTGTGGCGCGAAGCGCCGCCCCGGTTTACAAGTTCATCAAATACTGTCCGGCTGGACCCGCTGGACCCGCTGGACCCGCTGGTACCCAGCACCACGGAGCTGAGAGGTAAGTCCACCGATGTTCCGTCATGGAGGAACAACTGGACCCTGCACGTGAAACTGATCTGGTCCTGACCGGGTCACAGAAGGATTCACATCAGATTCCACCGGAGTGCATTGATTAACAGAAACTGGTTCCAGCTGTGCTGATCCCACTGGATCCCACTGGATCTCAGAAGTCCAGGATCAGCCGGGAGCTGCTCATCTGGAGCGTACAGGTGTGGGCGAACACAACGCCAGGGTGGAAAGACATCAGCAATGACCTTGGAGAAGCAACTGTTGCCTCCCGTCAATGTGAGAAGGGTCAAAGGTCCAAACTAATCCAAGACCATGGTTCTACAGATTCACCCCGAAGGTTAGACTGTGCAATGAGCTCAGACTCTGCAGGCCTCAGTCGGCAGGTCAAAGGTCAAAGGTCACAGCCTCCCTAAAAACAACATGGCAGCACCACTGAAGTTTGGAAAGGAACCACAAGACTCGTGGACCAGAACCAGACCAGAGGACCGAGGTTTACCCAGAATGCACTGCAGCGCACAGCTCCTCCAGCTGTCAGCACCGTTCGGGCTCCGGTCAGACACTGAGTGGACCAGGACCTCCCCTGGAGATCAAAGGGTTCTGGACTCCTGAAGCTTAGACCAAACTGGGTCTAACAGGACCATGATCCAGAACACAGCAGCTGCTCTACAACAGACCGGGTCAGAAAGAACAGAACCAAGGAGCTGCAACGGTCCAGTCCAAAAGTCCTCCAGAACCATGAATCTGACACAGAAACCCACCAAGGTCCTACAGCTGCTGGATCAGGGTCTGGGACCAGTTTTTGAAGATGAAACAGAACCCGTCCGCAGCCGTTTCACCTGCAGAACCGACACCTGGTCCTGCCGTCCGCTCTGATCCTGTGGTTTTGTCTTACAGCAAGGAGGGCTACATCCCCAGTAACTACATCACCGAGAAGACTTCTGGAAACCTGAAGCAGTTCACGTAAGTCCAGACACCGAGCGGCACCGGCTGGACCCAAAGGTCCGGACGGGTCAACAACTCGTGTCCAAAGACCCGAACCAAGTCCAACGTTTATTTAGTCAAACATGAGTTTAACCTTGTGGACAGAAAAACGTCTTCCTTCAGCTTTTCTCTCTTCAGGGTCTCCACAGTGAGACATCCTGCGTCTCACTCTGTCCTCTGCGTCCTCTGTCCCCAGTCCAACTACCTCCTTGTCCTGTCTAACTGCATCCATATGTCTCCTCTTTGTCTTTTTCCTGCAGCTGC